TTCGAAAAAAGCAGCGTCATGTTCAAGTGGATTTTGCAACTCAAAAAAAAGCACGCAAATCTAAAACTTCTTGAATTCAAGCATTTTTTGAGAAAACTGCCAACATTTTTTTATCCATGGTTCACTTTCTAAAAAGGCCATTTATTTCTGTCTAGAATGATGTAAAAATTACCGTTCTTGCTCATTTTGCCTCCGAGAACTGAGCAAAAATGGGACGGAAAACATGGAATTTTGGCATAATCTTGCGCTACCCTTGCACGAAACGACGATCATTTTTCTAATTTCATAAACAACAGAAGACTGTATTTTTTCTACATAACCCCACCCGGCTTTAAAGCTGGATCCGCCCCTGCTTCGATTTCACATCATTTTCATCTCACGGACCCGAGGAATGCATCGAACAAATTGAAAAACATGCTAGAAGTTTCAGATCCGAAATAATCGACATTTTCGGCACATTTTAAGCGTTTTTTGAGCATTCACGATCTTTAACCGACGATTTTTTCCTTATCATTGACCCAAACACTTTATAAATGCATATTTGCGATCTTCTTACGTTTACGTCGAAAGTAATCGACTGAGCGCAAAAAACACGCATGTAAAATTTTGATTTTTGGCCCAAATTTTTCCAGGGGTTGAGGTCGATTTTTTGAACAAATTAAAATTTTCTCTAAACGTCTTAAATTTTACATCATTTTCATCTGACGGACCCCAGGATTGCATCGAACAAATTGAAAAACATGCTAGAAATTTCAGATCCGGCAGACATTTTTAACGTTTTGACCCGATCGTCGAAAGGAATCATATGACTCGCCCCTCGTAGCTTAAGTGGCTGACTGCAACCAGTGCGAAGTTAGCCGAGTCCTTTTCGGCGCTGTGGGTAGGATTGCAAGGGAGATGTAGCTCTCTCTCTAACCTGAGAGCACATACAGGGGCAATTCCAAAACTACTGGAATTAATGAAATTGCAAAAATTTTCAGTGACTAGTGCGGTGCGCCACTGAGGACTTCAGGTCCTGCCAACTAGATCGGGCAAACGACCAGCTCGCTTAACTCGTGCTCCCATCTGTCACGATCGCGGCCTTTCGTTGGGCACTCACATTCTTTCGCGGTACCACCGACAATTATTTTAAGTAGTACGTTCGCTCGGTGCCCACTGGCGGTACCGTACGGATGTGCCGCCCCACCAATAGGCGTACTATCGAACCGGTAGGCTGGCAGACGCGTCCAGGGCCGGACACTCATCGGCCCGAAGGACGGCCCTGTTGCGTACTGTCGATCATCCCGGCGATCCCTCGGGCTCTTTGAGCGCCCCGAGGCAGGCGGG